CATTTCACCATAGGTACTAAGAAGAATGAAGAAAACAAAATAGCTGCTTACTAAAGAAAGGGTATATTTGGGGATAAATAGAATTATTCATTTAACTGCATGTAGCAAGGGAACTGAGTGGGCAAGAGAAGGTAGGAAACAATGAAGTCTCCCAAAGTGTGTAGTATCAGAACAAGCTACATCAAAATCTCCTGGGAAACTTGTTAAAATGCAAATTCCTAGGTATTATCTCAGACAACTGTATAAACAGAAGTACAAACAAACAAACAAACAAACTGGACCACGCTGTCACAACATACACAAAAATCAACTCAAAATGAATTAAAGACTTGGATGTTAAGTCCTAAAAAACACAAAAGGAAATAAATATAGGAAAAACACTTAATGACACTGTTTTCAGGAATGTCTTTGGGAACTTGATTCCAACAACAAGGTAAACAAAAGCAAACATTAATGGGAATTCATCAAAATACAAAGCTCTGAGCAACAACAACAAAATACTATCATTAAAGTAAAAAAGACCTCCTACCACACAGAAGATATTTGCAAAGTATGCATCTGACAGGAACCAATATCCAAGATGTACAGAAAGAATTCATACAAATCAACAAAAAGAGAACACAATCAAAAAATGAGCAGAAGAGCTAAATCCACACTTTTCCAATGAAGACTTACTGATGGTCAAAGGCAATGAAACAGAAGCTCATTGTCACTTATCATCAAGAAAATGAAAATCAAAGCCATATGAGATACCACCTCACTCCTGTAAAAATGACCCACATCAAAAAAATGAGAGACCACAAGTGTCGGCAAGGTTGTAGAGAAAAAAGAACACTCAATCACTGTTGGTGGGAGTATAGACAGGTCTAGCCCCTGTGGAAAAGCTTTGTTGAAATGTTAAAAAAGATATCTACCATATGACCCACCCATTCCGCTCCTAGATACCTATCTACTCCATTGCAAAAAACACTAATTTGGAGGGACATATACATTCCCAGTTTATTGCAATATTATTTGCAATAGTCAGGTTATGGAAACAATCTAAGTGCCCAAGGACAGATGTGTAGATTAATAGGATGTGGTATACACACCACACACACACACACACACACACACACACACACTGGAATGTGAAAAATGATGAATCCTTCCACATGTGACAACATTGATGGAGTTGGAGGGAATTACCCTAAATGAAATAAGTCAAAAGGGAATGACAAATGTCACTATCATATGACTGCACTCATATGTGAGTATAAAGAAAAAAAGGGCCAAGCAGAACTAAACCAAAATAAGCCCTAGAAATCCGACTTCACATTTGATGTTACCACAGGGGAGGGTGGAGGTGGGGGTAAATTCGGGGAGGGAGCCCTGCGGACTATGGTGGATGATGGGTGCTTTGGTGAAAAGTTATGAACCTATAATCCTAAACCATACAAAGTGTCATAAACCAATGTTGTCTAAATCAAAAAAACAATACAATCATTAAAATGATAAAAGAATGTCATGAATAAAAAGAATGAACTTAGAAAATGAGTAAATAAGCTCTTGAAATAGTTCAAGTAATAGATCATGGTAGCTTAAAATATGTGGTTGACAAAAGATTTGGGAAATAGTCGATACATTTGAGATTAATTTTGTTGGATCAGTCATGGATTGGAGGGATGGGAAGGTGTTAAGGATAACTCGTGAGTTTCTGGCTTATGAGAAATGTTGAGGGTCCGAGGGATATGAATGATTTGAGGGTTCATATTATTGAGCATGAGGTCCAGATCAGGTAGGTCAGGAATAAACATCTCAGAGTAAATGGTGTCCAGGGACTTCCAAGTCAAAACATAGAGTTGGAGGGGAGCACTAGAGGATGGGAGGACTATGGTCTGAGAATGGGCTCCTGCTCCACACAGTTTCCATGATGAAGAAGTTCTTCCTGAGGGACAGGACTGGATTAAACATAAATGCAGAAGGGTGGAGAGGACATGAAGCTCAGTGGAGTTACAGGAGCCAGGACACTGATTGGGTCTTGGGAGCCTGGAGGAACACAATTGTGATCCAGGGGCCAAAGTCATCAGTGCATGTGAGATATTGACCAAAAAAGTAGATGAGGGTAAAATAAGGCACAGCTGGTTGACATTAGAATCTACACTGGGGAGTCTATCAAAGAAAATCTGTTCCTGGCCCTCTCTCCTGGCTCAAGGGGTTAAAGAGCAGCGCCGTGGAGCTGTCTGCAACCATCTGCAGATTTGATCCCCAGACAGGGAGGGGACTGCATGGCTTGGCAGACCTCTCCTGTACCACCCTCTGCACCCCTCAGCAGTGTGTTTCTGTAGATCTGCCTGATCTGCTCCCCACTCTGTCTCTGGTGAATCCTCTCACCCCCCGTGCCTCTGGCCTGCACCCCAGCTTTGTGTGCATACATAAATAAAATCTTAAAACAAAAAAGAAAATACCTTCCACTTTTACATGTGGACTGTGGGAGGACATTCTGCATCCACATCTAGTTTAAGAGAGGAATTGTGGGATCAACGAAAGAGGATTTGTAAATGACAAAGCACAAACATGCCAACATTTTTTGTCAGTAAATTATACATTCTGGTTCCAAGTGTAGCAATTTTACATTTTTAATTCTTGAAAATTTCATCTTTCTGTATTTATGGGGGAAATACTATGACATATCGGATGTTTCAAACAATATGAGATGGAAGGTAAAGATGATAAATGAAGCAAGATCCGCCAAGTGTTGCTAATTGTTAATCCCCAGTAAAGGCTACACGGAGGTGCTTTACACTATTTCCATACATATGAAATTTTGTTTCTTTAAAGATTTATTTATGTGCAGAACTGGGGTGCAGGCCACCTGAAACAGAGTGGGCAACAGAACAGGTGGATCTACTGAAATACCCTGCTGAGGGGAGGAGCTAGAGACAGGAGAGGTCCGATGAGCCATGTGTGTTTGCTCTCAGCGGGGAATCGAACTCAGCTAAAGCGATGGTAGCTGGGAGACTAAACCTTTAGGCCAGCAGGGAGGCCCCTGACATTTTCTTTAATAAGAAATTTAAGCATTTTATCTTTGTATATTCAGCCCATTGTTTAGACTGGCATCTTTGTATATTCTCAGTAGGTATTAATCCCCATTTACTGAGAAACCTCTCTGATCTTATTACTTGTCCCAAGTAATCATCTGTTTAGCAGCAGATCTATGACTAGAATGCCATGTTCTTTTGACTTCTGAACTGGTATGTTCTCCCACCTAATTGAGTGAGTTGCTGTGTTTCCATTAAGAGGTTGTTAAAATTCAGAGCACTTCTCTAGGGCCTTTGATCTTGAAAACAGTCTTCATTTGATTGTAGGTCTGACAAAGTCAGACTGCCTTTGAACATACTATTCTTCATATGGCATTTTTCCCCTAGTGCACCAGGTTAAGGAGTATAGGGCCTACAAAGCTCAGCAGTTACCCCAACCACAGCCATGTGCTCTGTACCACACCACTGATTTCCCTTGCACTTGTCCTCCATCTTCAAACTTGTTCCATTTCTTGTATCATAATAAATTATACATGTATATGTGTGTATTGTTTTCCCTACCTTATTAAATAAATGGGACTTTTTTTTAAAATTTGGGAATAGTGTATGTAATTGCAATATGTAAGTAGTTATTCAATAAGAACTACCACGTCTGAAAACACTGATAGAGGAAATAGCAAATGAGAAAAAAAAATAACATGGGGGTGAAAATAAATACCCTGAGGTTGGTGAGTTTGTACATCTGAGGGCAGAGTGAGTAGTTGTAATGTGGTGTGAAATTTTGCTGTTGAGGACAATTTTCTTCTTGAATACTTCGTCCTAACACTCAGGGGTCTTCATTCAAATAGCAGCACAGCACAACTGCAAATGAATGTAGAGTATTGAAGTACAAAGCACTTAGCTTTTTCTCCAATAAAAACCTAGAGGCTAAGATGGAGGGGGGAGATGCAGGAAGTTTTTGCTGGTAATGAGAAACTCCTACAAACGTGTGTAGCACTTATCACAGTAGGCAAAGGCCACAGAATGGGAGCTGATGTACCACACAGACCATCAGTTTAGCTTTGATACTCGGTAATACCCAGAAATATTTCTATTTAGCATTGTTCCTTAGGTGAGTGTGCTGATGCTCATCACTCTAGAAGGGACATGTTTTTTCATCCCACAAATGAGCGGTCATTCAGAATTAGTACGGTATGTTTCTGAATGGAATGCTTCCAAAACTGGTAAGGTGTGCTTCCCACCATCTCTGTTGTCCTATAAAAAGCAAGCTGGGCTTTTACACATGGAGCTTTGAAAACCTCCATCACAAATATGGAGAGAATGCAGGCCAACTTAATAGAAAATGAAGTTTAGAGTCAATTAATTATATACATTTTTCCATCTATATACCGTGTCCATTTTCCAACCCCCATCCAGCCAATTTCCCTGTGAAAGTGTCATTTCAAAGCTCACAGAGATCTTATCCTCTCAAGTCGGGCTGGGGCTCAGTGGTAAAAAAGGGGCCTTAGGGAAGGCTGTGTTAAAGCAGCATTAACATTTTCAGAGAAAAAAAAGAAAAAAGCGAACTTGTTTGTGGTTTTGATTTGCTTTTAATAACAAGCTCCCTCAACCAAAACTGATGAATTGGCATAAGAACAAGGGTACAAAAGAACATCAAGGAGCCTTCCAAAATGCTAACCAAAGGATGAATCCTCTGCTTTGGGTGGCCATCATTTTATCCCTCAGAACCAGGAGATAAAAAGATGCAAAGCTTTTAATATATGCCGCCTGAATATATAAAGGAGCCGATTAGAGATGTGGCCAGCGGTGTTGTCTTATTGCTTTATAATCACATTCCATACTTTAAGCAAATGCAAATTCTGCTGCATGCTGCCCTTTAAAAGGCAATTTCACTGCATCCTGAATCGAAAGTAATCACTGATACAGCACAAACAAAGTCTCTGTTGGGTAAACACCAAAGCATTTCCCACACACTGATGCATTTTCAAACAGCTAACTTTATTGTCAGTGAAAAGATAGGCACAAAGTGGATTCAAACCTGCTTAACTTTATTGGAGCTCGCTCAGTTGATTACAGAATGGGGTCTCAATCATTATGGGGCCACATACATTTCAAAGCAAAGGCAATTCTTCTCCAACCATCTGCCAACCCCACCTATTCATTTTACAAACACATGCCATTAATCACAAGGGAGGCCAGGAGGAGGTTTGAGGGCTCCGTGTAAACCCATCGTTGCTACCGGAAAAAAATAAACAAACTCCCAACACTTGTCCTACTGATGATGGATGGCACTTGGAAGATACATTTCCAAGGATCATGGCGGGCTGCAATCGGTGGCAATTAGCCCATAGCCGATGCCTTCCTTTGAAAACATGTTCAGTAAGAATGCACACATTTTAACTAACACATTCCATATGTGGATGAGCAATTGAGATAACAGGAGATTGCCTGGCTAACACATATGAGACGAAAATTTCGAAAAGTCGATGCTTGTGAGTGTTTAAGCTCTTCACAGAAAGTAGTTTGCACAATCAGTTTGTTCATTTTCAAATCACTGTACCCACCCAACAGCGTAACAAAGAAAAGAGAAGGCAACACATGACATAGGATTCCTATGGCAGCTATTTCAGGTTCCCGTTTGCCTGTCATCCTGAAACCCAAGAGCAGCATTGAAAATAAATCCTTCATTAAAACAATAATCAACATACATGATTTTAGAAGAATGTTCAAGCTACATTTATTTAATACAAAATTAATAGGAATTTTATATCAAGTAAAGTTTGTTCTAATGAAGTTTTCCTGTACAGGGGACAGTGGGGTGCAACTAACTTAGAAGGTCCCCAGAGACCACCAGGCCATATATGTTAAGACAACAAGGTCACCCTCCTGTCCTGAGCTGACACTAAAATGCATAGATAAGTGGGAGCCTGGAAAGATCCCCCAAACGTTACATCCACACAATTGTGAAAAGGTGACTAATTTGAGATTTCTCCCGTAAACCTGAATTTTCAAAATGACACCTAGCAGAGACTTTACGAAAAGGCTGAATCTATCTTCTTCGTAAACATAATACACCGACATGGACTTCTTCCATCTCTCAGATGCACTATATTATTTTTGAAAATTACCTGGGATTAAAAAGAGCTGGAAAGGTCTGCCTGTGGTGTGAGGGAGCAGAGATGTTGTGGGAAGTTCACAATATTTTGCAAGAACTTCGTCCTTTCCCAAAATATACATAGTCTAAAGAGATGGCTGCCACACCGCGTGGAATGTATGACCATTGTCACCTTACAGAATGTGTTCTAAGTCATGGTTCCCAGGGCTAGCAAAAATTCTGGCAAGGCGCTATAACCATGAAAGGAGTGGATGAAAGGCTTTTTGTTTTTGTTTTGTTTTTGATGTATTTATGTGGATAGAAAGTAGTTCTGCTGAAATTTGCTAGTTGTTACTTCTACTAATTGAGGGATATTTTTTCCTTATGGCTAAAAAGGTAGTATGCATGAGTATGAACACAGCGGTGTCTCTGATTCTATTTGAGGTTCACTTGATAACAGAGCACGAATATGTAGGATGATCATGTCATTATTGAAAATGTCATGACTGGCTAGAAATCATATCACCCTCCCTCTCTGCTCTCTCTCTAGACAACACACACACACCCCACACACAATTATTCATTTGGAAGATAGCTAGGAACAATATAAGAATGCTGTTAACTATGCTCACAGAGGAAAACCCTATAAAATGATCTGAGACAGCCAATGCTATAGCAAGAGAAGTGAGGTTGATTTCTTAAGGGGAGCCTTTCACGTAGCTCATTATCAAAATAAGGATCAGGAAATGGGGAAACCTTGCAAAGGCACTTCAAGAGAGGCAAGAGAGAATTTAGAAACCTGGACAAACTATTCAAATCAGGGACATTTTACAAAATACATATGGGCCCAGATCACAAAGATGCCTTTTCTTACAATGAGGTTTTTGGGACTTTTTTTTTTTTTTTAAGTATGAAAGGGTTTCCCATAACAAGCAATAGAACTGGCAGAGTACACAGCTGTTTTGGTGATCTTGGAAAGTCACTGAATCTCTCCAGGTTTCAGATTCCTCATCACTAAAATGAGGGGGGTGGGACTATATTGCTAAAGATCATTCCAGACACTATGCTTCACGATGTAATATATCAAGCCTATTCTTCTATTAATCTGGTTTCTAACTAATACATCCCCAAACTTCTACCCCCCTCCCTCACCTAACCCTTCCCACTCCCTTCACCCTCCCAAACCCCTGAAAAAACTAATCTTAATGACACTGTCCATAGTTCTGTCACCTTAATGAAGGGCAGAGAGGTGACACAGATGGAACACCTGTGGCAAAAGGTGGCCCATCTGCATTTCTTGGGACAGCCCCTCTGGCAGAGCCTGGAACCTCTTGGTCCCTGCCCGTGTGTGCATTTTCCGTTGCTCTCCAGAAGTACTCTAAGATGGAGTCACTGGCAGTGAGAAGCAGTAGCTAAGTATACTCTCTCCCGCAACTGCAGCACAGTACTTCAGGCTTCTGGTGCTATACCCTTGGAAGTGATAGGCAAATATGTCTTTTAAGATGTAATGCTAACAATTTGGGGGAAAAAAGACAAGAATGTCAAAGAAGTCACCAGAAATTCAAAGTATTTGACCAGTCAACAAAAATGTTTCCTCAATTTTGCAAATGATTGGCAATTTGAGACTGGTGACTGAGCCAGTGAATCTGTGCTGGAGAAGAAGTAAACACTAGGCAGACTGGTCTCAGGAAAGGTCAGTGAGCTGTGTTCCTGACTACAAACTGACCACATAAGTCTGCACACAGCAACTCATGCAACAATCCATTAAGGCCTCTGGTGGTCTTACTCCCTAAGAGAGAGGAAGTTGTACATCACTCAGCTAACTTACTTTCCTAGCATCTGAAAGCAATATATTAATTATCCAAATGCATAAATTACTCCCAAGTATATATATGAATGTATTAAGCCTCCAGGAGGGAACCAGAAGAATCCATTTCCAAAGCACCACTGAAATGATATAAACACAATTCTCTGGCACAGGGTAGCTGGGAATTGGAAGGGAAAATTAGCTCCTGCACCCATCCATACTCTAATACCCACTACCTTTTTTCCAGCTCATCTAGCTCCTAAAACTGTTCCCTTTCATGAACCCAAGGTGAGAGCTCTCTCTGGATGCTGCCTAGATGATGACAAACAGCACACACGCATTCTCTTCGGCTTCCCGCTTCTGAACTACATATTACAAACTGTCTTTCAAACATACTGTGCTCTTCAATGAAAAAATGATTTGAAATGTGGAAATGCTAGACAAATTTAAGATTGAAATCATTGGCATATATCCAGCTATCACAAGTCCCAGTATTTGTACAAATCCCCACAATAAACCTTAGAGCACCTTCTGATTAATCTGGCTTTAAAAGTATGCTCTAAGTGTACCAGAAGAGACTGGAACTTGTATAGGATTACTTAAGAACTATGTTGCTTCAATAAAAAGTTCCTTAAAAAAACATCCCCCCACCCTTGTCTTCACCCTCAACATAAGAACAAAAGGGAAAAACGATTAAAAGCATTCTTGCTGATAAGCTGCAACTCTTGGCTAGGCCCTTCAGATGAGATATTCCACCATCTCTGCATCAGGCTCCTGTCCCAGGATCTGAATGGCAGCTTTTCTTTCCAGAGTATTGCAGTGGAAAACAGGGCCATCTGAAAGGAAATAAAGGGTTGGAAAAGGTTTAGGGACAAGGGACGAACTCAAATTTCTTTAGAAATAGCGTTAGAGACCCCACGAAGCCATCCGCAGAGTGGAACACACCTGCCACCCCCCTTATTCACCTGAGCAGGTACTTCTGTTGGGAGAGAAACCTTTACTCACCCCCATCCCCACACCATGTCCCAGAGTCATTTCCTGACTCGGCCCTATCTCTTCAGATGAGTTCCCTTGACAACATGAGACACTCTCTCCCACTGACCCACTGTGGCTGAAGAGCAGGCGCCAGCAAACAGATCGATCGTCGCCGACAGAGCCAACAGTCCCCTGCCAGGGAGGGAGAATCATTACCCGTCTTGTCCGGATTGCAGGTCAGACTTGGTATAGACAAACGCCGTGGTCCGGAACCGGCAGCTGGACTTGCAGGAGCCTCAGACGGACCCACAGCTGGAGCTGGAGCCGGAGCCGGAGTAGCAGCCACAGCCGGAGCTGGAGTTGGTGCCTGAGTCGGAGCTGGAGCAGAAGCTTGAGGCGCTGCTGGAGCCGGAGCCGGAGTTGAAGCTGGAGCTGGAACCGGAGCCGAAGCAGCTGGAGCAACCTGAACAGCAGCAGCAGCAGAAGCAGCAGCAGCGGGAGGAGCAACAGCAGCAGCAACAGCAACAGCAGAGGCAGCAGCTGGAATCTGAGCAGCAGCAGCTGGAGAAACACCAGCAAGAGCAGCAGTTGCTGGCGGTGGGGTGGCAATGGCAGCAGCGACAGCTGGAGCAGCAGCAGCAGCAACTGGAGCAGCAGCTACCATGGTGGTGGTGTTGGTGGCAGCGGTGGCAGTATTATTGGCAGTGATGGTAGCAGCAGTGGCGGCAGCAGCGACTGGAACAGGAACAGAGATGGGAGCCACAGCTGCGGTTTTGTTCGGTTCTGTTCCTCGTTCGGTTTGGGTGCTGCAGTCTCGGCTGCCCGTCTTCGAGTGAGCTGAGAGCAGGGGAGTTGAGGGCGGCACGGGTGACGGTGTGGAAGGGACAGATTCCCCGCGGTAGTCTCCACCCAGAAGGATTCCTGCAAGAGAAAGAGTAAAAGAGGTTAGAAAACGGTAGGCTATTCAAATACAGATTTCAGATTGTCTCCTTCCTTGTAGGAGATTCAGGAGAATTTTGCCTTGCACTCAGATCTAAAATCTCCATTGTCATCCAGGAATCCAGTGGTCAGGAGCCTCCTCTTACAGTTTCTTTCCCATTTAGCGAATCTCTTTGGTTCTCATTCTCCAACTCCCGGCACAATGCAGTAAAGCTGTAAGTGCTCTGTATCTTTTTTCTAAATTTACTTTTCCAATACTGATTGATTTCTACACGTCATCAGAACACTTCCACAGTTTCACGTATACCCAGCACCATCCATTATCAGAGAAGTAGAAAGGATCAGAGGGAAAGAAATCTGTGGTCAGAGATGAACATGATAATAACTGTAATCTAAGGTTCAAATCATGATCATGTTCCCCCAAAATGCCTGCTCGAGTCAAAGGACCGTGCAAGTGGCAAAGGGCTGACAAAGGTATTCGGTGAAACAAAGAGATCTAAAGTAAAAAAAAATATATAGCTTGCTTCCTCGGGCTTGAAAAATGTACTTTGTGGTATCCACAATACTTCTGGGCTTTTGATGAGGGGGGAACAAATGGAAAGAAAAAGTACATTCTGTTCTCATCTCGGAACATTCTGGTCACAAAAACCTGCCACCCGGCTCTAGTTAGCTTCACTGGAACTCCCCGTCCTCCTATTATATGGGAGGAAGGAACACAGAAAAAGTTTGGAATTTTGGCATTTTGAATGACATGAATGGCGCATGGGCTTTGCACAAAGACAAAAAGGTCCCACAGGACAAAGGTCAAATCTGAGACATGATTAGAGAAAACTGAAGTTTTCTTTCTTCCCAACCAAAGAGAATTCGGGATTCTACTAAAGCACTGGCTTCCATCAATGTTCTCTCCATATCAATGAAAATGCAGTGTGGAGGAGATTCTGAATGTGCAATTTTCCCCTCTGGAGCACAAAGCCTGATCTAGTCTGTGTTCCTGTCTGGAATCTGGAACATTAACCCTTTTCCTCGCTACGTGGATGGATTTCTAAATTAGGGCCTCCTTAAATTTTAACTTCCCTTGTCACTTTAATTTTGCCCATTTATTGTCATTACCCAGGCTCCCCTTCCAGCTCTTGTCATCCCTCTTCTCCTCCAGGATGGGTGTTCCAGTCAGGGTGGAAGAGTGGGAAAGCAAGCCCGATCCAGCATTGGAAATGGACATCAGAGACTTGGCTGGGCGCATGGACGAGAGCTGCTCTGTCTTACTGGGCTCTTTCCGGGAGCGCTGCTGGAGCACTTTGATCATGGCATCCTTCTCAATAATCTGGGCATGGAGCGTCTTAATCCTAGGAGGCAAAGACAAAGAACATATGAAGACCTATTGTCACCTCGTGCTCAATTCTCACTGCTGACATGAATTTGAACTTCCATTACCTTTCCAAGTAAAGGGTGGTCTCGTTATTTCTGAGTTGGAAGACATAGGATGGTGTCGTACATTTTTTAAAATGCATGTCTGCACACTCCAATGGATGCAACAGAGCATCCAGAAGCTGTTGCTTAAGTCTTAGGAGGCCAAAGTAAAATACCGGTAAAAAGAAAGACCACAGTGGGTGCTATCAGTGAAGAGTCTGAGTCAATGATGGACTTGATGAGAACTTCTATGAATAGGCCACAGCTTTCAGGTTTGCATAAATGTTTACAAGTTTATAAGAGACATCAGGTATTCTGCTTCCCTGTTTGAATGAGTGTTCCTTTATGGAGCACTCTGCTGTATCAAAGGCTTGAGGTGCAGTGCTAGAAAGAATACCCCAGAGAGCAAATGCCAACGATTCAATTCTGGCAGAGAACAGATGGAAAACAATCACCAAGGCCAACGGGAAAGTAATGCCACTCAGAATTCCAGAGTTCACAGGAATCAGCAAGGCAAAGATCACCGCAACTCAGACCCTGAGTAACAGATTGGCAAGAGTGCAGGGATGCAGGGTGCAGAGGTGCAGGGGTGCAGGTGTGCAGGTGTTGGTGACGGGCTGCAATATCAGGTTTCCCAGCTGTGAGCGAAATGTGTGCCCTTCCCTGCTGGTATAGTTCACCTCTATACCAATTTCTTAGATCCACCAGGGACTTGATCGACATTTTACCTGCCCTCCATGTCAAGGCAACGCTTGTTGGCCATCAAGATTTCTTCCTCTTCCTTCTGGATGCGAGCTTCTAGAGCTGTATCGTAGCTGGTGTTAGGAGAGTGGTTGATGACTGTTGTGTCCCTGGAAGAGAAAATAGCAGCAATAATGATGGGAAGGCAGGGCCCTCCCTGGTGGCACAACAGGTTAAAGCATAGCACTATGAAGCCATCTGTAGCCATTGCAGCACAAATTCGATCCTTGGCCAGGGAGATGACCCACGTCGCATGGCAGACCTGTCCTGTCTCACCCACTACTCCTCTCATCCCCCAGCAGTGTATTTCAGTCAGTCTGTCTGTTCTGCTCCCCCTATTCTGTCTCTGGTGAACCCTTTCACTATCCTCCCCCTTACTCCCCAATGCCCCCCCCAGCACCTATGGCCTATACCCCAGCTCTTGTATGCATAATAAATATTTTTAAAAGATGGGAAGAAAGCAATATCATAATTCCAAGCTCCCTCCTGTGTCAAATGTATTGTTGGAATGCCCTAAACTGAGAGCAAACTCATCCAGAACATTGGTTTCTAGGTGGCTTCCTGATAAGAGCTTCCAAGTTCTGATTGATTCAGCTTTCAATTCTAGAAGAGATTACTGATATGCACATAGTTGTAAAAGCCAGTGAGGTTCCGTGAGATGTACACAGGTTTGCCTGTGTCAGAACTAGAAAGACATTCTCCCAACTCCCAAAATACAAGGCAGAGTCCCTTGTATTTCCACTTTTTCCTCATGACAGTCATGAAGGGGATAAGGAAATCAGAACGGACCAAATAGCTATTGCTAGAGACAACAGTAGCTACATCTATGTGCTGGAATCAAACTGCATATATGTCAACAGGTAGCAGCAGTTAGGGCATGTGAGCTGAGTGGGAAGCAGGAATTTTGAGTCAAGGTCCCTTGGTTCCTATCTTAACCTATATCAGGAACATTCTAGCACCATAACAGCGAGTCTACTCCAGAGAGTGACTGTTATTGGCCAGAGTTCCAACTGCATGAGAGAGAGGAGAGGAGGAGGAGATGAGAGTAGGGGAGAATAGAGGAAAGAAGAGAAGAGAGGAGGGAAGGGGAGAGGAGAGGCAGAGAGGAGACTTGTTTAGCTCATGGGTAAGGTGGCTGCCTACATAGCCCAAGAAAAGGAAATATGGGAATCCTATATTCTCCTGATAACTGAGGTCATGCTTCTTTCATTTAGCTCACTTACAACTAAGAGGGAAGAGAATGGAGAAAACTGGATTCTATTTGAGTAACTTAGACAGAAAGAAAAAAGGGATTAGAGAGAATATTGATGTAATTATACTGCTCTTAAAGGAAATCAGACAATAGGCCTAGAAAACAATGAACTGGCATTGCTTCGTTATACTTGCTATGAGAACGAGGATCTGTGGGGGAACTGCAGGCATGTTTTGTGCTGGCAGCTAGCTAGGTTCTCTTAGCTTGGAGTCTGTGACCACTTACAGACTGTGACCAGTACTGATGAGGGTGAAGGGGCAGGGGAATGTAGAGATGGAAAATTGGTATTAAAGCTGGAGAATTTTGATGAGCTTCTGCAAAACTACAGCTTCCCAAAATGTTTGCACCTTCTATGCAAGGCTGAAATAATGTATGGAAACAGTGCCCAAGAAGGGAAAGGGCTATAATGGTGGTGAGCATTTGCTATATTCAAAACCTTCAGTTTCTCAGGATTCTATGCTTCCCCTGGGGCAGTAGGCTTGCAGGCCTACTAGGGCTGACTTCTGTGTTGCAGAGTACCCAAGAGGAAGCAGAATGGGGCAGCGCTGAGAGCGCAGGATATGTTCTGTGCTAGATCCACACTGGGGTCATATCCCAGCTTGCCTGAGTTCTCTGCCACTAACAAACTCTCGAGTCCAGGAAGTCAGTTAACTGTGCTAAGCCCCCGCTTCCTCATATGTAAAATGGAAAGGGTAATAGTCCTTGTACCTTGTGGGCTAAAATAAAAATATGAAGGTAAAATACACAGTGCCAAGCAGAGTAAAAGCAGCCAAGAAAGTCATTATTAAGAGAGAAATAAATGTGCAGGCAGAAAGAATAACATACAAGAGAATATCATTTGAAAGAATTCCAGCTCTTGGGGTCGTGCTGGAAGCAACTCCTGTACTTGCTTCCTGCGCAGTTGCAATGGAATGGAGGCTTGGAGCTCAAAAGCGCGTGGTGTCTATGGCTACTGGGGACTTGATCATACGGTTGTCACTGGGGGAGCCAGTGGTGGCTTCCTGCCAATTTCACTACATAAAAGACCATTTTGGGGACTCAGGGCCCTGCCAGCTAATTGATATGGAAACCGTGAACTCCTCAGGAATGGAGCCTGAATGTGGGGCACTTAGTGAATTCCTACAGAAATGCCAGGATGGCCTGCAGTATCCATCTTCCTTCTAGCAGACTGGGGTTACTAAGCCAGTGGCTTCAGCAAAATCAAGAAAGTTTGAAGGATCAACATGACCCGCTAACTTCCAAGAACCTGAGCCTACCCTTAAGCCCATCAGAAGGATGCTGGGCCTGAAAGCACAACTTGCAAGCCCTAAACCATGTATCCCTGAACTTAACATTCCCCCATCTCAAATTCTTAAGTAAACAGTTTCTGGCAACAATCAGCTTCTCTCTCTTCCTCCTTTCTCCGACAAGGTTATTCCTATCACATTACTTACACTGCTTTCTAGAATGTCGCCCGTGACCTCTTAATTAAAACATCTAGTGGCCTTTTAAACTTCAAGTCCATCTTTTCCTATCGGTGGCATTTTCTTGTTTCCTTAATTCCTGAACTCAGCCCTGAGCAGAGCACCCTGCTTGATGTTACTGGGAGGCTGCAGAGTAGAGATGTGGCTAAAACTAGCCCCCGGCTGCAGGGAACTCATAAGGAGACAATAAGAGTAAATAATTAACTATTACAGAAGTGAATTTGGACTTTATTCCAATCGGCACTGCAAATTTTGAAAGCCTTTCAAGGGGCATGAAATGACCCAAGCTGTGTTTCAGGAAGATAGCATTATCTCTTGCTGAAATGTGATGGGGAATTAGAAGGGCAATACACGGAAGCAGGCAAACCAGTCAGAGAGGTTATTGTCATCCCAGCAAGAGATAATGCTAAAATGAAACAGTGAAGTGGCTAGGGAAATGAAAACAGGTTACAGGAGGGAGAGTTGCCGCATCCTGGAGCCTAGTTAAATGTGGGCATCAGGAAGAGGGAAGAATGAATTAGAACTTTGTTGTTTCTAATTCAAATGTCTAAAAAGATAACAGACTGCTCATTTTCTGAGAGATTTTGGGGCACGCATAATGAGATTTGCTTTCAGTTACACTGGAGTCAAAGTGTCTTATGAATGCTTATATGGCAGCTGAAAGCTGCTGAAAATTCTAACCTCCTCTCAGAAGTCAGAATTCCTATCTGAAGGCGGTGTATAAAATATTGTCAGATATAAAATATGAAAGCTGAGGCTGTGATCTGCTTCTGACTTCCTCTCTTCCTTTCTTCCCTTTTTTCTCAAATTTCCTATCCCCCCAAAAACAAAACATTGTACATTCCGAAAAAAAGCAGCAACCTGACTCCGTACATGCAAACTGATCGCCTGGGTCATTTCAACTGAAACACAGCTTGGGTCATTTTATCGGGCAGTGCTCTTTTGTATCTCCTTGCTGCTCCTCAGAAATAAATTCACCATTTATGAGCTGAAACTAAAAAATCTGCATTGTCAGATCCATTCCTCTGGGATGTAACTCCTACTTGATAGTGATTTCCCTCATCTATATTCATGCGTCTAGAAAGGGCTCTCTAGGAACACAACATCGTGGAGCTCTAACCCAGACCCTATTATTGTGATTCCTTTTAATACTTCTCAGTGACTAAACAATAAGCCTCAAACAGGGCCTCCCTGTTGGCGCAACAAGTTAAGTCTCAGCGCTATGAAACTACTGATAACCACTGAAGCACGAGTTCGATCCCTGGCCAGGGAGCTGACCTCCACAGCATAGCAGACCTCTCCAGTCTCACCCGCTGCTCCCCTCAGCAGTGTGTTTCAGTAGATCCACCTGTTCTGCTCCCCACTCTGTTGCTGGTGAATTCTCTTACCCCCTGCACCTCTGGCCTACACCCCAACTCTTATACGCTTAGTAAATCTTAAAAAATAAAAAAAATAAAAAACAAGCCTCGAATAGCATCTCGTGAACAGTTAATAAAACCTATTCCACCGTTTTTAAAATCACTCTATCAGGAAGCACTAGAGATTAGTGGTTAAGAGGTCCAAAATGTAGATTTAAATCCCACTTCTTCTGGCGTTGGTAACTGTGTGTGATTTTGTACAAATTACTTAACAGGTCAGTGTATCAGGTCCGTCATCTGTAGAATGGTGAACAATTATACTTAGAGAATTTTTGTGAGAATAACCGGTAAGTGGAAATTGCTTAGAAGAGAAGAGCACCTTTTACAGTAAGCATCACACGTGCTGGCTAACATTCTCGGCCCTTTACAAATGTTTACATTTTAAGTATCATGTTTATTTTCAATAAGCCCAACAGTCATTGGTTCATTTTCTATTTGGGCCCTCCTAACTTTCCATCCATGAGTCAAGTTCACATAGCCATGAACTGACCAGAAACACATCACTGACCTCTGAGGTCAGGGTGGACTGACAACATGTCTATTATGGAGGACAGTATCAGCATTTTCCGTATTAATGAAAAAACCTTTTCCTAGGCCTGTGAAAGCCCGTCACACGAACACCCTCATCTTGCCTTCATGTGAACAGCAGTGATGTCTCCCATTGACAACTTTCCCTCCGACAAGAGGTGCTCTTTGAATCAAAGCACTAGGAAGAGTATATAAACAGATCACCCAGTTGGTCTCACCTGAGAAAAGATAGCGGCCTATTCTTACATCGAAAAATCTGCATTTTATTTATCACAATGGCCCCAAACTGGAAACAATTCAAAAAGCCACGATGAAGTGAACAGGTAAGTCATTTGTGTGGTACAACCATACCATAGAACGCCGCTCAGCAATACAAGGAAATAAATTGTTGCATCAAACTGGACAAGCCTCAAATAATTATGGTAAGCTACAGAGGTCAAAGGAAAATTACATGCTATATGACTCCTTTCAAATAACATTCCAGAAAAAGGCCAATTCTCTCATTTTGTAGGAATTTGAACACAATTTCTCAATCTCTCAATTTCCCCAGTGTGTTGGACTAACAGGCAGGCAAAGGGTAACACTGTCCAGATACAGAATGTTTGCCTAAGGGACAATCAAAAAGTGTCCCCACGAGGTGGGTACTGGATGCTATTTATCTTATTAAATGATAAGCATGAGCATGTTACTGAAAACAATAACTGCATGGAAAATTTCTACCTGCTGATTTAAAGAAATATGACTTAAATTAAACTTATCTTATGGGAAGCAATAGATTCTGGAAATACAATCATCTGAAAGGGGGTTCCCCCAATACTGAAACTCTTCCAGGATGGAACAAAGGGGACCATTTCACTCCTGCATTTTGACCTGGAGTGTTTTAAAAAGTGAATTTCCAGCTCCAGGAATCCCAGCTTTCTGACATTTCCTCAGATTGCACCCTTCGTGAGCTGTACCTTTCTACGTTTCTGCCCAAAGATGACAAATACCCCTGTATCTCCTTTTCAATGTGAGGGTTTTATGAACCCTCACATTGGAACAAACAGTGAGGTCAGGTGTTTTCATAGAAGCTAGCAGCTAAAGTTAAGTGTCACTTAATCCAGCTTTGAAACTGCCTACTAGCTTCTTGACCATCCTCTAGCAGGGCAGGCTCCTGGTGCACTCTGTTTGTGTCTGGGGCTCTAGTGAGCCCACTTTTCTCAGAAAACAAAGACAGACAGGCTTCTACCCATAGGGAACTCAAAATAAAGGCACAGGCGACTTCACTCTATTTCCATTTATAGGGGATCTTTGGACAGTCAGGCAGAACACAGTCAAGAAATGGACAATGTCTTCCTGGAGAAATCACACTACCTGCTATGCACTGACCTCCCTCTGACTTGGTTTGAGCACTCAAAGCTAAATGCTGCAAACCTCTCCACACTCACATCCTAACTGACAGTCTGGCAAGCACTTCCAGGAACTGCTGGCTCACCATATTCACAATGGTAAGAATAACATGGCGGTTTTCGACGACTCTCTAGAGAGAGATCTATCTGGGTGCAAGATGCTAGAGTCCACCTTAGATCCCCAACTCCAGGTCCAGGTGGTCTGGATGGCCAGCAAACCGTATCACCTGTTGATATGAATTTAGTTCTTTACATTGTTTCTTTTCTTCCCACCTGATGATTTTGAATGGCAGCCACACAGACAAACTGGGTAAGGACACTGTTTCTTCCAAGATCCAATAATTTGCCTTCACAAGATGGAAATGGGAATGTGGCATCAGCAAACGGTGAAAATCCCCTGCCACTTCCTCTCCCTCACCAAGTGCAAAATGGCCGCTTACATGTGCTAAACTCATCGGCACAGAGCATGTGGCCTTCAAATACAAACCTTCTCTAAGGGCAGGGGTGGATTCATTTCAGCACCACCTTCAGCATCCCTGGCATAAGCCACACCTAGCAAATAGCAGCAGCCATTCCTGAGTAACAGTTTCTAAGTGCATTTCTCTGGAAAGGCTTCCACGCCAGTCCTGGGCTAAGCAAAACCACCACATAGGTGACTGAAAGAATCTGTGGCCTTGCTGATAGAGGTATGCAAATGTCCACTTGACCCCATCTATAATCGGTCTGGCTTCTGGAGAAAGATGACCTGTAATTCCATTAAGTTCGTAAGTAACATGAATTTTCAAATCCCTGACCCTCTGTCTCCATCATTTTCAGTCCCTTCATAGTTAAGTGCGGGGGAAAAAATAGACTTAAGCAAACACTGGAAGAAAAGCAGAATATTACAGAAAAAACTCTGAGAATCTATTAATAATAGTAACAAGTTGTCAATCATTTCTGAATAGTAATGAGCTGCCTTTCTGCCCAGGGTCAGCCAACACTGACACGCCACCAACCAACCACTTACCTCTGAGCAGCTACAGTGGCGGCAGCATCCAAAGCAAAATGTCTCATCACATTCTCCTCCAAGTACTTCTGCTCCCACTTGGTCATATCAGCTTCCAGGGCCAGAATCCTCTCCTCCTTCTCACGCAGGAGCTCCATCAGTGCAGCAGCATTGTATTCTGACACGTTGGTGGGCTGGGAGCTGCCCTGGCGCTGTTAGGGGAGATTCCAAGACACGGAACGTTAGAACCACGGGCCTGAGTCCCATTCGGACAGTCCCCAGCTGCCCAAGTTACTTCAGACTGGCTTCTGATTCTTCCTAAGGCCTCAGCACTTAACCTCTTGAGCTGAATTAGGAGACACCCTTGACCAGGACAGACACCACATGAAATGGTTGCTCTGCTCAGAAAGTGGATCAAGGGTTTAAAAATCCGCATCCCAACCTACCTGCCAGGTGGACAATAGAAATGGGATTTAAAAATCCAGCATTTGGTCCCAGGGTCGCCCCAGAAAGGCTGTGTGTCCTTAACAGCATCAGACCACCTTCTCGGGCTTTGATTTCTCTCATCTAGAAATGAAGTGTGGTATGGCTACATGATTCTAAAGGCCGTTTCCCATGCTAAGATTCTAGGAATCAGTCTTACCACGTTCACTTCTGAAAGGGTCTCCTGTTTCTGGGATTCACAAGAAAAGAAAAGTTGCAAGATAAGAGGCATCGAGGATTTGGCTGGGATAGAAAGATAAGGAAGCAGGTTTTGTCTACAAGTGAAAGGCACTCTGGAGCATGATCCGGGGAGGCAAAATACTAACATGAGCAAGACTGGTTTTTTTTGTTGTTGTTGTTGTTATGTCAAGCACCAGCTGAAAAATAAGCAACTGGAAATAATCTCCTTTTCTTTAAGTTCTCCTTACCTGCTGAATTCTGAGGGATTCCAGTTCCCTCTCCAGTCGTGTCCGGAGACGGTGCTCCAGCTGCTCACGTTTTTCACAGGCTGCCTGGAGCTGTACAAGGGCCTGCTGCATCTTCTCCACCTTATCGACATACACCTGCTTCTTTTTCAGCTGAAAATTCAGGTTGGGAGAGTTGGGGGATGGAAGGAAGAAAACAATAAGGTGGCTATACATCCCCCCCAATCCAAGGTGCATTTCATCTCTTCCTGTCCAGCTTTGAAAGAATGAGCAGTGGGCCTCCCTGATGGCACAGGGGTTAACTCTCAGCACTATGAAGCTATCTGCAGCCACTGCAGTGCCAGTTCAAACCCCAGGCAGGGAGGTGACCCACATGGCTCAGCAGACCTCTCTGTCTCATCTGCTACTCCCTTTAGCAGTGTTATTTCATTAGATCCATCTGTCCTGCTCCCCACTCTGCCTCTGGTGAATCCTCTCACGCCTGGTTGACAACCCAGTTCTTATATGCCTAAGTAAATAAATAAATGCTTTTTAAAAAAAGAATGAATGGTGAGAAGGTCCTTCATGATGATCACACACTGTCGTATATTAATATGACCAGCCTAGGAATTGGAGCTTCTCCTTAGTCCTCTCTTTTTTTCCCTAAAGACATTCCCATTAATAGCGTCTGTCTTAGATGGCAAGTTTTACAGAGAAGGTTCTTAAGGTTTCCACCAATGGCTGTCTTTACCTCTGTTCTTCATCACTGTGAGCTAGAATATTCCATTTTGGTCACTGCAGTAGAGAAATGCTAATTTTAAAAAGAGGGGTTCTCTAGCTCGAAAAATCAAAAATTTCATCTGATATGGAAAGGAAACCCATCTCCCGTACACCACCTCTTCTCCAAGGGCGATAAAGGGCCTGGTCTGCTGTTGAAGGTACAAGGAAAGCCCAGCATTGTCTTTCTGAAATCAGTGACCTTCCTTGGTAAGTACCTAATACAATCAAATACTGCTCTGCTGGAAAGTCTCTGCTCCTCAAGACTGCAGGAACCATGCAATGGTGGTTTAGTCTCACTGACCAGCCCTGCCTTGCCGGTTCTTTACTAAAAGAGCACAGCTTATTTGCTATTTCTGCCTCAGTCATGAGCCTGAGTTGACAAGATGGGGCTGTAATTTCTCAACGTTCATTCTAGGACCTTTAATTTCCCCTAAAGACTCCAACTAAATGAAACAACTCTAACACTGAATGAGTTAAACACGAGCCACATCCAAAATCAAAGGCACGTTAGGACTAAGTATTTGAATTCTTTTATACTCTTGTAACTTACCAGCAAGTCCTGGCTCCATGGGAATGAAAGAATGAGGAAGAGCTTGGAGCTCTTGAACAAAGGCATACACCCTGAACCTGAGCAGACGGGGGAAAGGGCAGGTTTCCCAACTAGTCATTAAACGAGCAGATTATGTTCCTCAGAATACATGGGGGCACCTCTCTTGCTAAAATCCACCCGCAGACCCGTCCTAAGGCAGAAATTCTTCCATTCTGTTGTTATCACTTTCATGGTATGTGAGGTTAGGGATACTTTCACTACTAAGATGGAAATCTAAAAAGGCTGATAATGAAGTCAAAAGAAAATTCAGCTCAACTCTAACTTTTCAACAAATTCCTAAGCCCTTGATCTATCCTGATAGATAGTTGCAATGTAAGAAGGTACCCGCTGTACCAGCATGACCCGCACCTATTTAGCAGAACCAAACTGAGTCCCCTACTGCAGAAATTAGGTAACTCCTTAATGGTGATGGGGCCAGATCAGTGCTATCTAGAATGTCCAAGTCACAGAGCACTAGCATGTGCTGACAGAAAAACATTCCTTGTCTTATAAATATACTCCTCCCCAAATTAGAATTACCGCGCTTTCTTCAGGGAAGAAAGCCTTTTTATATTTTCCTATCAGACCTGTGCTGTATTTTACATAGGTAACTAGGAGAAGAGAACTTTAAATTTTTTCTATACTTTCTTGACAACTCCTCTCAGTCCAAGGCCTACCAGCTCAATCTAATCTTAAAAAACTATCTAGTTGAGGCTAGATGTTTTTATCCCTTAGATATTTTCCTAAGAAATAAACACGCAAGGCCCTCCCTGGTGGCACAGCAGGTTAAAGCACAGCACTAAGAAGCTTAAGCCACTTCCGCATGAGTTCGATTCCCGCCTGCCCCGGAGGTGACCACATGGTGTGGCAGACCTCTCCTGACCCGCCCGCTGCTCCCCTCAGCAGTGTACTTCGCTGATCTGCCTGTTCTGCTCCCCACTCTGTCTCTGGTGAAGTCTCTCACCCTCCGCATCTCTGGCCTGTACCCCAGTTCTGTATGAATAAATAACTAAATCTTAAAAAAAAATAAACATGCAAAAATCATTATTCCCTTTCTCTCAATAGGTGTAAGCCATTCTTTCTGGAATATGTGACTATCTCTAACAACATGGGCCATGGCAATCAAAACTCTCACGCAATGGAAGCTGCTGCTGTCCTATGTCCTAAGCTTTGAATAATCGGGGAGTAGGAAATATCCTCTATCCTTCACCTTTTGAAATCTACAACCCTCATGAGCTATTTAAAGTTGAATGCATTTGTTTGAGAATAGCTCTGGCAGCCCTCCGGGAGCAGTGCAATGTTAATGCAGAGAATGCTAACTATAATTACTGAGCCTTACAGCAGTTATACTTAAAGGCAATTAGACTTAGATAGCATGCAGTTCTTGCCTTGATGGCAAAGTACTGCAGTGTAAGCTCTGAGAACAGAAAAACAAGCAGTCCAGAGCCAGGTGGATTTCTACATGCTAGGCCTTTCTTGAGAAAGAAAAATTGTAATATCTTAGCAAAAGCACCCCTGGCAATAGAAGTCACTGAGCCAAACTTCTGGAAGGGAAAAAACAATAAAAAAAAAGCCCAGGGAGTTTTGTGACTTGGCTGTAGACAGATATGCAGGTCAGGAAAAATCCCATTGTGCTTTGCCCCTGGGATGACTTTCCACAAGATACCAAGACTGCTCTTGCTGGAAAATTCTCCTACTGCCCTCAAAAGAAGAAAAAGTGCTGCTCACCCATAAACACCATGATCACCTAAAATAAATGCTTAATTCCTAAATAAATTGGGTGGGAAACGAGAGCTTTGTATGCTACCAAAGCAAGATGCTATAGACACAATCAACAAAATCAGGTATCTTCTACATTGTGTCTTTTACATCCCATCTAGCCAGGCAAAGGGAAAAAAATCCTGTGTAGTTTATTAATTCCTCTGTTATATACTTCACTTTTACCTTCATCGCGCTACATCTACTTTTTGGCTTCTCCTGAATAAATTCTCTATGCTAAGATCCTCAAATGCTATACTAGGACATCCCAGGTCCCCAACTTCACCTTCCAATACCATTAAAAATGTCAGCTGTCCCTTCTTAGGTGGAGAGAGAGACAGTAAAATGGTTAAGGTCATTAGCTGTGGCCTCAGACTGCCTGAGCCAGGACGGGAAATCCTTAGCTTGCTCCCACTTACTAGGTTTGCGGGCTCAGCCAGGCTGTTTAATCTCCCCATGGTTCCACTTAGTCATCTATCTCATGGAGATGATAATGCTGTGTTCTACCTCTATACTGATCAAATGAGGTAACACATAAAGTCCTTAATGGAACGTCCGTTACAAAGAGTACTCAGAGCTGTTTTCCTTTGTCAAGAAAAAGCTAATACCATCTCAATTTTGAACACTCACTTCAGGATAGCCTTGACATAGTTTCATGTTCTCAATACCTCTATCCTATCAATAACTACTGCAAATATAAAATCAGAGCTAAGTGTCCCCAAGAAGACAATTAAGTGTTAAGACTCAAAAAGAGCTGCAGATATCTTTATAGTGCAGAAGCCATCATTGTAACACTGGAACTCACAATTCTTTTCTGGGATATGGAGACCTCTCTATTTACTCTATCAAAATAATGTGGCTTGTGGTCATTTCCACTTATGAAGAAATAGTTGTGGAAAAATAGTTATGGTGTTTACCTAAAGACCTTTAGAAAGTGCTTAGGCTTCACGAGCGTGTAAGTACAAAGATACACAAATGAGAAATTTTATTTGAGAGCAAAATGAAAGGTAAAGGGGGCAAGATGGTCATCAGAAAATTTTGATTCTAGTCCTAGACCTGTTCTCAATGGTCACTTGCTTCCCTGTTCTCAGTTTCAGATCACCCATTTGTATAAAAAAAAAAAAAGTGAAGGAGGGGTTAGGAGTCAGATAACCACCTTATACTGGCTCCATTATCTCTTGACACCTGACACTTCAGAGTAGTTAAGTAAAGTAAGGTACCTGAGGGCCCCATGCAGGTCACCCTTCATTGCCTTTGGGCACTGTACCCCCTCTCTTAGGAAGACCCTGTCTACTAGTTTAAGATAAAAACAATAACATTCGGCTAGCCAGAAAACTGCAGATGACATCTAATAGTCTTTCTTTATTGTTGTGCTTTTTCTAAAGATTTAGTTATTTATGCATACAAGAACTGGGGTACAGGCCAGAGGTGCAGGGAGTGAGAGGATTCACCAGAGACAGTGGGGAGCAGAACAGGCAGATCCACTGAAATACACTGCAGAGGGGAGCAGTGAGGGAGGACAGAAGAGTCCTGCTATGCCATGTGGACAGCTACCTATGCAGGGATCTAACTCTTATTGCTGTGGCTGCTGATAGCTTAATAGTGCTGAGACTTTAACCCTCTGTGCCACCAGAGAGGCCCCTTATTGTGTTATTTTTTTGAAGTAGCAAAGCTTGACAGCATTCCATATGATTTGGGGATAGAGACTCACACCTCAGCATGGTTAATGTAAGGTTTCAGAGGATCCCATACAAGTACTGCTTTAATTTGTATATGTATACTGCTTTAATTTGTATATGTACACCCAAGAGACAGAACGTATAATGTATGTACTCTCTATAGGATCCTAGATGATTTATTTTTCCATGCCTTTAGTGTGCATGAAAATGAAAGTCCATTTGAAACGTTTCCAAAGCCAAGGTTAGCAGCTCTGGCTAGTGATGAGTACCCACATGCCTCTAGAAGAAGTTGGGAAAACCTATTACTTGAACCAAACTTCCCTGGATACTCAGTGATTGGCGGAGAAGTTTTCTTTCCAGCTATCAAT